AGCAGTGGAAGAAGGTTCTTATTACTGACGAAAGCAGAATGTTTTTGCATGGTTCCGACGGCCGTAATTTTGTTTACCGGCGATCAGGTAATTACAATTCTAGAGGAATCAATATTTTTTTAAGCTATTGCATAGCTTCTATCGCGGGCCTTGAGCGTGGGGACCGAATCCAGAAATTCCGTAACGAAAAAAACCTAACACCCCCCACTCAGATTTGACATCTGACATCTGACTTTCTGACGATCTGACAAAAAAAAACAAACAAAAAAAAAACAATATATATATATATAATCGATCGTCGTTGTGTAAATTGATATACATGAAGTAATAATATCTAATAACTCATTGGAATATTTTTCGCCAAACCTAACCCAAACCTAACCAAAACTAACGCAACTGGCCCCAAACTCACCCCTGCACATCGAATTGCAAGATTACTTTTTGCCCGAGATCACGTGAATTGGAATTTGGAGCAGTGGAAGAAGGTTCTTATTACTGACGAAAGCAGAATGTTTTTGCATGGTTCCGACGGCCGTAATTTTGTTTACCGGCGATCAGGTAATTACCATTCTAGAGGAATCAATAATTTTTTAAGCTATTGCATAGCTTCTATCGCGGGCCTTGAGCGTGGGGTCCGAATCCAGAAATTCCGTAACGAAAAAAACCTAACACCCCCCACTCAGATTTGACATCTGACATCTGACGTTTCTGAAGATCTGAAAAAAAAAACAAATAAAAAACAAAAAAAACAATATATATAATCGATCGTCGTTGTGTAAATTGATATACATGAAGTAATAATATCTAATAACTCATTGGAATATTTTTCGCCAAACCTAACCCAAACCTAACCAAAACTAACGCAACTGGCCCCAAACTCACCCCTGCACATCGAATTGCAAGATTACTTTTTGCCCGAGATCACGTGAATTGGAATTTGGAGCAGTGGAAGAAGGTTCTTATTACTGACGAAAACAGAATGTTTTTGCATGTTTCCGACGGCCGTAATTTTGTTTACCGGCGATCAGGTAATTACCATTCTAGAGGAATCAATAATTTTTTAAGCTATTGCATAGCTTCTATCGCGGTCCTTGAGCGTGGGGACCGAATCCAGAAATTCCGTAACGAAAAAAACCTAACACCCCCACTCAGATTTGACATCTGACATCTGACGTTTCTGACGATCTGACAAAGAAAAACAAACAAAAAACAAAAAAAAACAATATATAAAATCGATCGTCGTTGTGTAAATTGATATACATGAAGTAATAATATCTAATAACTCATTGGAATATTTTTCGCCAAACCTAACCCAAACCTAACCAAAACTAACGCAACTGGCCCCAAACTCACCCCTGCACATCGAATTGCAAGATTACTTTTTGCCCGAGATCACGTGAATTGGAATTTGGAGCAGTGGAAGAAGGTTCTTATTACTGACGAAAACAGAATGTTTTTGCATGGTTCCGACGGCCGTAATTTTGTTTACCGGCGATCAGGTAATTACCATTCTAGAGGAATCAATAATTTTTTAAGCTATTGCATAGCTTCTATCGCGGGCCTTGAGCGTGGGGACCGAATCCAGAAATTCCGTAACGAAAAAAACCTAACACCCCCACTCAGATTTGACATCTGACATCTGACGTTTCTGACGATCTGACAAAAAAAAACAAAAAAAAAAAAAAGCAATATATATAATCGATCGTCGTTGTGTAAATTGATATACATGAAGTAATAATATCTAATAACTCATTGGAATATTTTTCGCCAAACCTAACCCAAACCTAACCAAAACTAACGCAACTGGCCCCAAACTCACCCCTGCACATCGAATTGCAAGATTACTTTTTGCCCGAGATCACGTGAATTGGAATTTGGAGCAGTGGAAGAAGGTTCTTATTACTGACGAAAGCAGAATGTTTTTTGCATGGTTCCGACGGCCGTAATTTTGTTTACCGGCGATCAGGTAATTACCATTCTAGAGGAATCAATAATTTTTTAAGCTATTGCATAGCTTCTATCGCGGGCCTTGAGCGTGGGGACCGAATCCAGAAATTCCGTAACGAAAAAAACCTAACACCCCCACTCAGATTTGACATCTGACATCTGACGTTTCTGACGATCTGACAAAAAAAAACAAACAAAAACAAAAAAAAAACAATATATATAATCGATCGTCGTTGTGTAAATTGATATACATGAAGTAATAATATCTAATAACTCATTGGAATATTTTTCGCCAAACCTAACCCAAACCTAACCAAAACTAACGCAACTGGCCCCAAACTCACCCCTGCACATCGAATTGCAAGATTACTTTTTGCCCGAGATCACGTGAATTGGAATTTGGAGCAGTGGAAGAAGGTTCTTATTACTGACGAAAGCAGAATGTTTTTGCATGGTTCCGACGGCCGTAATTTTGTTTACCGGCGATCAGGTAATTACCATTCTAGAGGAATCAATAATTTTTTAAGCTATTGCATAGCTTCTATCGCGGGCCTTGAGCGTGGGACCGAATCCAGAAATTCCGTAACGAAAAAAACCTAACACCCCCCACTCAGATTTGACATCTGACATCTGACGTTTCTGACGATCTGACAAAAAAAAAACAAAAAAAAAAAAAAAATATATATATATATATAATCGATCGTCGTTGTGTAAATTGATATACATGAAGTAATAATATCTAATAACTCATTGGAATATTTTTCGCCAAACCTAACCCAAACCTAACCAAAACTAACGCAACTGGCCCCAAACTCACCCCTGCACATCGAATTGCAAGATTACTTTTTGCCCGAGATCACGTGAATTGGAATTTGGAGCAGTGGAAGAAGGTTCTTATTACTGACGAAAGCAGAATGTTTTTGCATGGTTCCGACGGCCGTAATTTTGTTTACCGGCGATCAGGTAATTACCATTCTAGAGGAATCAATAATTTTTTAAGCTATTGCATAGCTTCTATCGCGGGCCTTGAGCGTGGGGACCGAATCCAGAAATTCCGTAACGAAAAACACCTAACACCCCCCACTAAGATTTGACATCAGACATCTGACTTTCTGACGATCTGACAAAAAAAACAAACAAAAAAAAAAAAAAAAACAATATATATAATCGATCGTCGTTGTGTAAATTGATATACATGAAGTAATAATATCTAATAACTCATTGGAATATTTTTCGCCAAACCTAACCCAAACCTAACCAAAACTAACGCAACTGGCCCCAAACTCACCCCTGCACATCGAATTGCAAGATTACTTTTTGCCCGAGATCACGTGAATTGGAATTTGGAGCAGTGGAAGAAGGTTCTTATTACTGACGAAAGCAGAATGTTTTTGCATGGTTCCGACGGCCGTAATTTTGTTTACCGGCGATCAGGTAATTACAATTCTAGAGGAATCAATATTTTTTTAAGCTATTGCATAGCTTCTATCGCGGGCCTTGAGCGTGGGGACCGAATCCAGAAATTCCGTAACGAAAAAAACCTAACACCCCCCACTCAGATTTGACATCTGACATCTGACTTTCTGACGATCTGACAAAAAAAAACAAACAAAAAAAAACAATATATATATAATCGATCGTCGTTGTGTAAATTGATATACATGAAGTAATAATATCTAATAACTCATTGGAATATTTTTCGCCAAACCTAACCCAAACCTAACCAAAACTAACGCAACTGGCCCCAACCCCCCCCTGCACATCGAATTGCAAGATTACTTTTTGCCCGAGATCACGTGAATTGGAATTTGGAGCAGTGGAAGAAGGTTCTTATTACTGACGAAAGCAGAATGTTTTTGCATGGTTCCGACGGCCGTAATTTTGTTTACCGGCGATCAGGTAATTACAATTCTAGAGGAATCAATATTTTTTTAAGCTATTGCATAGCTTCTATCGCGGGCCTTGAGCGTGGGGACCAAATCCAGAAATTCCGTAACGAAAAACACCTAACACCCCCCACTCAGATTTGACATCAGACATCTGACGTTTCTGACGATCTGACAAAAAAAAAACAAAAAACAAAAAAAAAACAATATATATATAATCGATCGTCGTTGTGTAAATTGATATACATGAAGTAATAATATCTAATAACTCATTGGAATATTTTTCGCCAAACCTAACCCAAACCTAACCAAAACTAACGCAACTGGCCCCAACCCCCCCCCCCGCACATCGAATTGCAAGATTACTTTTTGCCCGAGATCACGTGAATTGGAATTTGGAGCAGTGGAAGAAGGTTCTTATTACTGACGAAAGCAGAATGTTTTTGCATGGTTCCGACGGCCGTAATTTTGTTTACCGGCGATCAGGTAATTACCATTCTAGAGGAATCAATAATTTTTTAAGCTATTGCATAGCTTCTATCGCGGGCCTTGAGCGTGGGGTCCGAATCCAGAAATTCCGTAACGAAAAAAACCTAACACCCCCCACTCAGATTTGACATCTGACATCTGACGTTTCTGAAGATCTGAAAAAAAAACAAATAAAAAACAAAAAAAAAACAATATATATAATCGATCGTCGTTGTGTAAATTGATATACATGAAGTAATAATATCTAATAACTCATTGGAATATTTTTCGCCAAACCTAACCCAAACCTAACCAAAACTAAAGCAACTGGCCCCAAACTCACCCCTGCACATCGAATTGCAAGATTACTTTTTGCCCGAGATCACGTGAATTGGAATTTGGAGCAGTGGAAGAAGGTTCTTATTACTGACGAAAGCAGAATGTTTTTGCATGGTTCCGACGGCCGTAATTTGTTTACCGGCGATCAGGTAATTACCATTCTAGAGGAATCAATAATTTTTTAACCCTATTCTTGGCATGGTGGATAATTTGATACGTTGAACTTTTTTGAAAATCTGGAGACGTTCCGAGACGTATTTTAATTTTTTTATTATTTAACAAGCTACAAAATATAATACCAAATCCACAAAAAAATACTATTTTATTACTTGCAACACGGAAATTGCAGTCGAAAACAAGATGGCGAATCGATCGAGGACGTCTGCGCATCGCAAGGTAAAAATAATTATTTTTTGTTATATTTTGCTTAAATTAATTCCAAAAACGTTGTAATTCAAGTCGGTTACAATATTTATTAGTCGGAAACGCTATTTTCGAGTAACAATCTGGATGGAAATCGTATGTAATCAACCGTTTTTTTCGAGTGTATCAGATATGCCACACTGCCAGATAGCCAACATTCTAGACTATTTTTGTTATGTATCAAATATGTGACACTGCTTGATTTGTATAGATACTATTTATTTATAAATTTTAATATTATAATCTATATATATAAAAGAAAGTCGTGTTAGTTACTTCGCTTATAACTCAAGAACGGCTGAACCGATTTAGCTGAAAATTGGCAGGGAGGTAGTTTAGAGCCAGGAGAAGGACATAGGATACTTTTTATCCCGTTCGACCGCGTTCCAATTTTTATGATATTTTAATTTTTGGATTTCTCTTAGTCCGGAATAGGTAAGTATTAAAACATATAATTAAAATGTGAGAAAGAAAGATTTTTTCTTTTTATATCTATTTAAAACGTACCTAGCGACGAACCCGAGCGAAGCGAGGGTGAGCCGCTAGTAATATTTTAAATTATTATTGCTACTTATATTATTGTGTTTTGTATTTTTCAGCCACAGATACATCAGCTTAGTATACAACAACAAAGAAGAGCTCGGCATCTTGTGGCTCTTGTTCCGAAGCCGGGGGCAAAATCGGATTTGGATGACAGTGAATCATCTGCTGAGGATGAATTGCAGTACTGTCCCCGCCCAACGCACTCCGACAGCAGTTCACCGCCTCCATCGTTGCCATCTTTGATAGAAAATCTAAATCTTTTATCAGATGACGACAATGAGATAAATCAAGTGGTTGCTTCAACATCTTTGGTGCTACACTCACAGTCATCGCTGTCAACCAACCCATGTTCACCATCAATTTTATCGTCCAACCCATCCGCAATAAGGCAGCTTCAGTGTGCTGAGGCAAGTCCTTTGTCTCCGGTACCACCTTTATTAGATCAGGTATGTTTACCATCTCCATTGGCAACCTCCTCGCAAAAACATTCACTATTGGCAACCTCTTCCCAAGTACCTTCACCACTGGCAACCTCCTCGCAACTACCTTTACCACGAGCCAGTAACTTGACGTGTCATAACCAGGTACCGTCTCCATTGTTTGCACCTTCTCCCTCAGCGGCTACTCGATCAAAAAGACCTAGAGTGGTCACGATAAAACGAAAAGTAATACCTGCTAAAAGATTACAACCTAATTGGCGTTGCTGTAAGTTTACCGGTTCTGCAGAAGTGAAAGATATCTCGTTTGAGCCACGTGAAGAGAAGTGTGCCATTGAATATTTCAAGCTGTTCTTTTCAGATGACATCATCTCTCTCATAGTGCAACAAACAAATATCTATAGCACACAGACAAATGGCAGCTCAATAAATATCACAGAAGATGATATCAAAGATTTTCTGGCGATCCTTTTATTTACGGGGGTCGTTAAAATGCACGCTTATACAGATTATTGGTCCAAAATTCTACGATACGACAAAGTAGCAGATATAATGACTCTGAAGAAGTTCCAGTTACTGAGGCGATATATACATTTCAATGATAATTTTATTGACGACGACGATAGATATCACAAAGTTAGACCACTTCTTCAAAAAATTCGTGAAAATTGTCTAAAAGTAGAAGAAGAGTCGCGTTTCAGTATTGATGAAATGATGGTTCCACATAAAGGAACTAGAGCAGGCAGCCGTAAGCAGTATGTAAAAAAATAAACCGAAAAAATGGGGATTCAAAATATTTGTTCGCGCTGGTGTCTCTGGAATAGTTTACGACTTCCTGATCTACGGAGGAGACGACACATTTAGATTTAACTCATTCACAGATGAAGAAAATGGTATGGGCCTGGGATCAAAAGTAGTTCTTGCGCTAGCGAAATCCATTCACCAGCCTGCATGCAAAGTCTTATGCTTTGATAACTTCTTCACTTCTATTGAGCTCCTGCAATATTTACGTAACGAATACGGGATTTTCGCACTGGGAACAATCCGATCAAATAGGCTTCGAGGAGCGGAAAAAAAATTACCCACGGATAAAAATCTAAAAAAAAGCGGCAGAGGATCTCATGCACAAGTCGTATGCAACAAAAACAAGATCGTTGTCGTCAAATGGTACGATAACAAATGTGTCACAGCTGCAAGCACATTTGTAGACGCGCATCCTATCCAGAATGTGGTTCGTTACAAGAAAGCACAAGGAAGAAAAATGCCAGTGACATGCCCAAATTTGATAAAGAATACAACACCGACATGGGCGGAGTTGACCTGGCAGATATGCTGATTGCTCTGTATCGTACACCATTCCGAGGTCATCGCTGGTATTTACCGATCTTCTCGCAAATGCTTGATATTTGTGTGAACAATGCCTGGCTTCTCTATCGACGTCATAGAGAAGCCAGGCATGAAGCCAGAAAACCCAAGTCGCTAAAAACATTTCGAATAGAAATTTTCGAAAGCTTACGCAGATTTGAGAGAACTAATACAAGCAATATCAGCAGGACTAGCGTCAGCTCAACCAAGACCATACAGAGACCTGTAGCTGAAAGACCCCAGATGCTGTTCGGTATGATCAAGTTGCACATTATCCAAATGTAACACCTATCAGAGGGAGGTGCATGTATTGCAAGAAAGGGCAAACCAAATTGTTTTGCGAAAAATGCAAAATGAGACTGTGCTTATTGCCGGAACGTAATTGTTTCGTAGAATATCATACTAAGAAATAATACGAGTATAATTTATAATTGTAAGACTGTTAATACTCGTATATATTATGTAATATTTATATTTCATAGTAGATATTCGTGATTGATCTCATTCTACCATTAATTTAGATTTTTATAAGATTCAAAGGCTGTTAAAACTATTACTGTTGATTTTTAACCGACTTATACTAAAAGAAGGTTCTGTTTTTAAGGTATGTATGGAAGTAGAAAATAAGTGTCTTAAATTTTATGTTTCTTTCACGTTAGAATGTAATATTTTGTTTTTTTTTTGTTTTGTTATAACTTGTTAAAAGCCTGGCAGAGCGGCAAATATGATACATAGATTTTATAAGGTTAATTTTTAAGAGTCTGGCAATGTGCCTTATGTGATACATTCAATAAATCATAAAATAATAAATATATATTTTTATTTTTATTTTTTCTCCCCTCAATGAATACCTAATAATACATTTTATGTAAAATTTATCAACATTTCATAAAAAAAAATCTTGCTAAGTATAGGGTTAAGCTATTGCATAGCTTCTATCGCGGGCCTTGAGCGTGGGGTCCGAATCCAGAAATTCCGTAACGAAAAAAACCTAACACCCCCACTCAGATTTGACATCTGACATCTGACGTTTCTGAAGATCTGAAAATAAAAACAAACAAAAAACAAAAAAAAACAATATATATAATCGATCGTCGTTGTGTAAATTGATATACATGAAGTAATAATATCTAATAACTCATTGGTATATTTTTTTCGCCAAACCTAACCCAAACCTAACCAAAACTAAAGCAACTGGCCCCAAACTCACCCCTGCACATCGAATTGCAAGATTACTTTTTGCCCGAGATCACGTGAATTGGAATTTGGAGCAATGGAAGAAGGTTCTTATTACTGACGAAAGCAGAATGTTTTTGAATGGTTCCGACGGTCGTAATTTTGTTTACCGGCGATCAAATAAGTACCATTCTAGAGGAATCAATAATTTTTTAAGCTATTGCATAGCTTCTATCGCGGGCCTTGAGCGTGGGGACCGAATCCAGAAATTCCGTAACGAAAAAAACCTAACAACCCCCACTCAGATTTGACATCTGACATCTGACGTTTCTGACGATCTGACAAAAAAAACAAACAAAAAACAAAAAAAAACAATATATATAATCGATCGTCGTTGTGTAAATTGATATACATGAAGTAATAATATCTAATAACTCATTGGAATATTTTTCGCCAAACCTAACCCAAACCTAACCAAAACTAACGCAACTGGCCCCAAACTCACCCCTGCACATCGAATTGCAAGATTACTTTTTGCCCGAGATCACGTGAATTGGAATTTGGAGCAGTGGAAGAAGGTTCTTATTACTGACGAAAGCAGAATGTTTTTGCATGGTTCCGACGGCCGTAATTTTGTTTACCGGCGATCAGGTAATTACAATTCTAGAGGAATCAATATTTTTTTAAGCTATTGCATAGCTTCTATCGCGGGCCTTGAGCGTGGGGACCAAATCCAGAAATTCCGTAACGAAAAACACCTAACACCCCCCACTAAAATTTGACATCAGACATCTGACTTTCTGACGATCTGACAAAAAAAAAAAAAAAACAATATATATAATCGATCGTCGTTGTGTAAATTGATATACATGAAGTAATAATATCTAATAACTCATTGGAATATTTTTCGCCAAACCTAACCCAAACCTAACCAAAACTAACGCAACTGGCCCCAACCCCCCCCCCCGCACATCGAATTGCAAGATTACTTTTTGCCCGAGATCACGTGAATTGGAATTTGGAGCAGTGGAAGAAGGTTCTTATTACTGACGAAAACAGAATGTTTTTGCATGGTTCCGACGGCCGTAATTTTGTTTACCGGCGATCAGGTAATTACCATTCTAGAGGAATCAATAATTTTTTAAGCTATTGCATAGCTTCTATCGCGGGCCTTGAGCGTGGGGTCCGAATCCAGAAATTCCGTAACGAAAAAAACCTAACACCCCCCACTCAGATTTGACATCTGACATCTGACGTTTCTGAAGATCTGAAAATAAAAACAAACAAAAAACAAAAAAAAAACAATATATATAATCGATCGTCGTTGTGTAAATTGATATACATGAAGTAATAATATCTAATAACTCATTGGAATATTTTTCGCCAAACCTAACCCAAACCTAACCAAAACTAAAGCAACTGGCCCCAAACTCACCCCTGCACATCGAATTGCAAGATTACTTTTTGCCCGAGATCACGTGAATTGGAATTTGGAGCAGTGGAAGAAGGTTCTTATTACTGACGAAAACAGAATGTTTTTGCATGGTTCCGACGGCCGTAATTTGTTTACCGGCGATCAGGTAATTACCATTCTAGAGGAATCAATAATTTTTTAACCCTATTCTTGGCATGGTGGATAATTTGATACGTTGAACTTTTTGAAAATCTGGAGACGTTCCGAGACGTATTTTAATTTTTTTTATTATTTAACAAGCTACAAAATATAATACCAAATCCACAAAAAAATACTATTTTATTACTTGCAACACGGAAATTGCAGTCGAAAACAAGATGGCGAATCGATCGAGGACGTCTGCGCATCGCAAGGTAAAAATAATTATTTTTTGTTATATTTTGCTTAAATTAATTCCAAAAACGTTGTAATTCAAGTCGGTTACAATATTTATTAGTCGGAAACGCTATTTTCGAGTAACAATCTGGATGGAAATCGTATGTAATCAACCGTTTTTTTCGAGTGTATCAGATATGCCACACTGCCAGATAGCCAACATTCTAGACTATTTTTGTTATGTATCAAATATGTGACACTGCTTGATTTGTATAGATACTATTTATTTATAAATTTTAATATTATAATAATATTTTAAATTATTATTGCTACTTATATTATTGTGTTTTGTATTTTTCAGCCACAGATACATCAGCTTAGTATACAACAACAAAGAAGAGCTCGGCATCTTGTGGCTCTTGTTCCGAAGCCGGGGGCAAAATCGGATTTGGATGACAGTGAATCATCTGCTGAGGATGAATTGCAGTACTGTCCCCGCCCAACGCACTCCGACAGCAGTTCACCGCCTCCATCGTTGCCATCTTTGATAGAAAATCTAAATCTTTTATCAGATGACGACAATGAGATAAATCAAGTGGTTGCTTCAACATCTTTGGTGCTACACTCACAGTCATCGCTGTCAACCAACCCATGTTCACCATCAATTTTATCGTCCAACCCATCCGCAATAAGGCAGCTTCAGTGTGCTGAGGCAAGTCCTTTGTCTCCGGTACCACCTTTATTAGATCAGGTATGTTTACCATCTCCATTGGCAACCTCCTCGCAAAAACATTCACTATTGGCAACCTCTTCCCAAGTACCTTCACCACTGGCAACCTCCTCGCAACTACCTTTACCACGAGCCAGTAACTTGACGTGTCATAACCAGGTACCGTCTCCATTGTTTGCACCTTCTCCCTCAGCGGCTACTCGATCAAAAAGACCTAGAGTGGTCACGATAAAACGAAAAGTAATACCTGCTAAAAGATTACAACCTAATTGGCGTTGCTGTAAGTTTACCGGTTCTGCAGAAGTGAAAGATATCTCGTTTGAGCCACGTGAAGAGAAGTGTGCCATTGAATATTTCAAGCTGTTCTTTTCAGATGACATCATCTCTCTCATAGTGCAACAAACAAATATCTATAGCACACAGACAAATGGCAGCTCAATAAATATCACAGAAGATGATATCAAAGATTTTCTGGCGATCCTTTTATTTACGGGGGTCGTTAAAATGCACGCTTATACAGATTATTGGTCCAAAATTCTACGATACGACAAAGTAGCAGATATAATGACTCTGAAGAAGTTCCAGTTACTGAGGCGATATATACATTTCAATGATAATTTTATTGACGACGACGATAGATATCACAAAGTTAGACCACTTCTTCAAAAAATTCGTGAAAATTGTCTAAAAGTAGAAGAAGAGTCGCGTTTCAGTATTGATGAAATGATGGTTCCACATAAAGGAACTAGAGCAGGCAGCCGTAAGCAGTATGTAAAAAATAAACCGAAAAAATGGGGATTCAAAATATTTGTTCGCGCTGGTGTCTCTGGAATAGTTTACGACTTCCTGATCTACGGAGGAGACGACACATTTAGATTTAACTCATTCACAGATGAAGAAAATGGTATGGGCCTGGGATCAAAAGTAGTTCTTGCGCTAGCGAAATCCATTCACCAGCCTGCATGCAAAGTCTTATGCTTTGATAACTTCTTCACTTCTATTGAGCTCCTGCAATATTTACGTAACGAATACGGGATTTTCGCACTGGGAACAATCCGATCAAATAGGCTTCGAGGAGCGGAAAAAAAATTACCCACGGATAAAAATCTAAAAAAAAGCGGCAGAGGATCTCATGCACAAGTCGTATGCAACAAAAACAAGATCGTTGTCGTCAAATGGTACGATAACAAATGTGTCACAGCTGCAAGCACATTTGTAGACGCGCATCCTATCCAGAATGTGGTTCGTTACAAGAAAGCACAAGGAAGAAAAATGCCAGTGACATGCCCAAATTTGATAAAAGAATACAACACCGACATGGGCGGAGTTGACCTGGCAGATATGCTGATTGCTCTGTATCGTACACCATTCCGAGGTCATCGCTGGTATTTACCGATCTTCTCGCAAATGCTTGATATTTGTGTGAACAATGCCTGGCTTCTCTATCGACGTCATAGAGAAGCCAGGCATGAAGCCAGAAAAACCCAAGTCGCTAAAAACATTTCGAATAGAAATTTTCGAAAGCTTACGCAGATTTGAGAGAACTAATACAAGCAATATCAGCAGGACTAGCGTCAGCTCAACCAA